TTCTTATGATGTTAGTTCTCTGGCATTGAAATTTTCAGTTATTAATCAGCTCAAGACTGTATTGGATTATACCACCCCCTCTCCCAGATTTCTAATACTATTTGGCTTTACAAACAAATTTCTATTGCAGATTATATATTAATGTATTAATTTTGTGATTTCTGGAGCAGATAACCATGATGGCATTCATGATTGTGTACACCGATCATATTTAATAGACATGAATTGACAAGTTATGCCAACCTGAACTAGATATATTAGACTTCAACAGATTATATGTATACCTCTCTACATGTATTCCCAACATTAATGTAGTTTATGCTTGGACTATAAGGGCATTCAAGAAATATCAGATGTTTGCAGAATTTTGAGGAAGATTTTTTCACTGTCCCCATTCATGGCAATACCAAGATATGGATTTTGTCCTTCTTGATTGTTATCAAAGATGATTGTATTATTTTAGTAGCTCTATTATAGAATGGACCTGTCAGAATGTCAAGTACTTTTAAGCTGAAAACTTAGACCCCGTTCTCACTTACTTCGTTGGAGCGCTCTGGAGCGCTCTAACTAAGACCCGCTCCTCAGGAGCGGTTCTTAGGTGAGTGAGAACGCTCAAAGTGGTCCAGGAAGCGGACTTCTGGACCGCTCCAGAAGTCCACCTTCCGAGGTGGTCTTGAGGAGCGGGTCTTATTAAGAGCGCTCCAGAGCGCTCTAACGTGTAATGTGAACGGAAAGCGTACTTTGAACGGAAGTGACGTTCCGCGCGATGAGCGATCGGGCAGGCACTACACATATACATGTATACGGGGCGCGTCGCGAACGGGACATCAGGTGACATAGGGTTTGGATTCCGCGCGCGAAAAAATTGACCCGCCTACCTGAGCTGCCATAGCAACAAGACCACTTTGACTCGTGGAGCGGTTTGAGCCATAAAAACTGCTCGGAGTGTGAACGCTCGCAAACCGTTCCTCAAGACCCATTCCTCTGGAGCGGTCTGGAGCGGTCTAACTAAGACCACTTTCAAAGTGAGTGAGAACGGGGTCAAACATGAATTGTGACTTATGTAAATACAATCAACACAGGAGCATATGCAGAAGGCAAGTTTCAATTCGGGATTCAGCAACTTTCAAGATGAATGTAGGCATTTTATTTAAAGTCACAGGTTGTCTAGCTTGTTCTGTTTACCAACCGGATTTCTTTCATTTGAAGAAAACCATGATAAAAATCTTGGCTGGCGAGTTTTCCCCATGGAATTTTGGACCTTGAAATGTCAAGCATTATGTTTTTCTTTCATTTTCAGTCATCTCTTCAAAACTTACATAAGAAGGAAAAAATGAAAAATGAATTTCTTTCAAGAAGCCAGTTTTCAACCAAGACATTTTATGAAACATCCGTTCACGTGATTCAGAGATTCATGTTTTGTTAATGTGTGGTTCATAATGTTATTTGGGTTTCGGAAGAACTCGGGGAAAGGGGTTGGTATACTGTATTAAATTATTTAGATGCCTGCCCCCCCCCCCCACTCAGTGTTATTTAGGGTACGCGTCTGCATGTTCCCTCCTTTTGAAAATACCACCTAAATCCGGTGTGTAAAGTCAACACGGGCCAATTTTTTTGTGTGTTAAAAGCCGGACTTTGCTGCGTGAAAAGTACCCCTTTACCGGACATTTTTGGAACACGCATGCAGTCCTCCCGTTCCTGGAGTGGGGGGGGGGGGGGGCCGGGTTAAGATATTAATATTCACATATTGGCTACTTTGAGGGACACAGTTAATACTGTTGCTGAAGGTAATCTCGAAACTGTAACCATAGGCAAAGTCCAAGTGCATAGTACAGTTTTGAGATCAATGAGAATCTATAGTTTTAAACGTGGCCTCCCAAATCAGCAGTCAGTATTTGTTTTATACATTGTATACTGCATCTCGCGTGTAAATTCTCCAAATTTGATAATTCGACAAAATAAACTGTTCAAATTTATGAATTATATAATGTAGAAAATTTACCAATCTGAATAAAGTAGGTGTGTCCAATGCATGCATCCATATAGTATCTATTGCGTCCTTCCATTATACATGCAAGTGGTACTATGCCGGTCAAAAAATGCTTGCTAGTATGCTCGTTGATTGGATAGTTTTTGCTCCATAAGACAATCATTCAGTAAAATCATGGGGGCAATTCAGCCCCCCTCATGATATTGATGCCCCTGCAAGTGATTAATTAGTTCCTGAATAGTGATGAAGGAATTCCTCAATTAATACCTCAACGATAACTCTAAACACATCAGAGGCTTTCCAAATGAAATGAATTTATTCAGCTATATAGACTGTGGCAAGATACATATATAGAAATATTATTTACAATCATGTAATGACATTCTTCTGATGAAGATTTAGACTGTCAAGGCTTTTTGTGCTCATCAACATGTTTTGTTGAACTGTATAGAGGAAGGGTATATGACGGCAGAGAGAGAGGGGGGGGGGGCGCATGAATCTCTTCCATATTACAAATGCATGGCCATGGATAAGCCATCGAGTTCAAGTGGAAAGGGAGTCTGTATTGGAGTAACACTTTGTAAGTAGTATGAGTACACTTGTGTTCATCTTCGAGAAAATTCTTGGGTAACTCGAAACTTCTCAGAAGATTTCAAGTATCTGTGCAATCTTACAAACGTTTGGCAAAATGGAGAAAAAACTTCTCAACTGGAAATATTGTGCCGTTAAAATGCTTTAAAAATCTTTCACATATAGATCTGCTATTCTGCTTCTTGGCATAGAATCATCATTTACATGTACTTGCTACCCAAAATAATGAATTGATACATATATATATATACAAATATATATATATAACTAAAGGGTCAATTCTGTTTTACATTTAATCTAGCCAGGTATAATTGAATTTGAAAGAAAATGTATGATTTCGAGACCATAATAACAACTTTAAAGAATAGTGTTTATTATGGACATATTGTTGCGGCATGAAATTAATGATTATAAACATTTTTTGCCTGACCAGTTAGGCAAGTTCATTGGCATGTTTACTAGGAGGTGCTTTTTTAAATGATGAGTTACATTCTCTTAGAGCACATCAGTCAAGTTGCTGCATGTGCTCGGGAGCCATATTGACGCAAACATAATTGAATCATGTGCACTTTGGATTAATTTAGCTTTAGTCATCATGTGTTAGAGCACACATTATGAGCTAATGAGAGACACGTGTGATAATACAGTAGACATTATGTACTAATACAGGACACATTTAAGCTAATGTAGTCACTTAAGTAATAATACCTCTAAATAAAGTTTGTCCTTTTGTAAAGTTGTGTAACTTTGTAGAGATCAGCAATTTACCACATTTAAAAGAAAAATTAGAAGAATTTTTTTTCCATTCTAAATTCAAAAAAAGAATCTGCTCAATAATTTTGGTGATTCTGATTTTTTTAAAATAAAAAATAGATTAGTGTGATTAGATTGCTTTTCCAAATGACAGATTTGCTAGGCATTGGGCTAAATATCATAGGGAATCCACATGAAGAAAAAAAAACTGCCCCCAGCCCCCCCCCCATTTTTATAGCCACTGTGTGTACTGCTCCCCAGGAATCATGGACTTTTGTGACTTATTTGTTCCCCCCCCCCCCTCCCCCCTCCTTTCTGATAATCCTGGATCCGCCATTGCTAATAGGCAAGTGACTCCATGCATGGAGGATAGAGCTTGTACTGGTTGTAAAACAAGAGAATAAGTGAATCATCTGCACTTGAAGCCAATTTAGCTGTTATGTCTCATGTGATACAGCACACATTGTGAGCTAATGCAGTTATTCTGGTAATTAGAGGTAATACCCTTTAAAGACAGTGCATCATCTTATCTATTTTTGCGTTTGAAAGCATTAAATGTACAAACAGTAGTTCAAGTTCAAGTTCGTTTATTCATATCATTTTCATAAAAAACACAGCAAATGCAAATAAACATACAAGTATATATACATACAAAGAATGTTCAGTTAATACAATAGTTTCAAATGGAATGGGAGAACAAAGGAAAAGCCCATGGTGGCTTTGAATAAAAAGTTCCCAGAATATTATAATTTATATTATTTATATTACTGAGCATATATTAGTTAAAGATATCACAAAATACAGCGATAAACACAATATAAAAACAAAAAAACTACAAAACAAGGTAAATTTAACGGTACTCAGAAAAAAAGGTCAGTTTCATTTGTTTTTTAAACATTGGACTGTTTTTATATTAGCGAATGACTATAGTAGTAGTATGAAATCTTACAGTCTTAGGTTTTTAACTTTGCATGAAAGTTTAATAGAAGCTAACCCCTTTTATTTGACAACCATTGATGCCATTTGGGGGTACCAAATTTAATGCTTTTAATTCTAAATAGCAGTAACATGATTTTAGTACCAAATCATTCCTACTTATTAATTTCTTAGATCAACATTCCCAAGAGTGCCTTTATGGGTGGAAATAGCTTGAGCAAAGTGAATTTATATTTGTATTTATGTATTTTTTTGTTTTTTTGTTGCACACAATCATAGGTTTGTCATTGAACCAATAGTTTTGTTTAATACAGAGTAATTTATTTTAGAATAATAAGTGCTAACATGATATCCACTGTTTCATAACAAAACTTGTAAATTTCAGTGTGATTTAATCAGAAACTCAACATATTCCAACAAGAAGCCAGTTTCCTACTCCCATATCGTGAGGAAAGTTGTTGCAACTTACAAGGTATTTCTTCTATGTACAACTATATTTAAAATATAACATGATAATATTAATCCTGCAAAATGGAAACACCTCCTTTAATTCTGGGATGACAACAGCGCAATGTAGGACAAACCACAACACTAGCTGTGCACCCTCCACGAGCCAACAGCATGGAATGATTGACACAAACCATAGTCGATTAGCAATATCCGCCCGTCGACTACCGGGAATAGAAAAAAGGGGGCTCCTCGCAACCAACAAAAAATAGAACGCCGTAGAGTCAGGAAGAAGGAAAGAGTTGCAGGAAAAGAAGGAGGGGGAACATGCTCGGAGTGCCAATGTTTCTTAGGACTTATAATCCTCGGGATCGGTCGTGAATGCCAGCATAATCCATGTTGTTGTTGGGTGCACGAGGATATTGGAAGGAGTATAGCTAAAGTGGGTGTTATATTATATAGTGAGTAGGGAGAGAGAGAGGAAGGGAGGATATTTTCTAGTTTGGTCACTGGAATACGGAGTGAAATGTGCTAGATGCCGTTCCGGGTAATGAGCTCGAGTCGTAATAGAAGAGTAAGTAATTTAACTACCACCATTTCTCGTTGTTTTAGACTTTTCTTTCTGATATTGAGTATAGATTGTAGCAAGGACTTTGAAGTTTGCAGTCATCATACACAAATGAATCATCAGTGATGTCATGACCTTGCCTTCATTTTGGAAATTACAAGGTGTGAGATTCAGATGGAGTCTTATTTTGGAATATATTTGACAAGTTTTTTGGTATGCATGTAAGCTTTACAACATTTGTATGATCGACACTGCTCTGGTGATATTTGCTCCACGGTCAACTGCTAACGCTTGATGTCTTCCTAACTTTGACCCTGACCCAACACTATACACTCACTGTAACCCTGACGCTAAACTTAACCTTTAACCCAATTTTTCATTCACTTATTTGTTTTCACTGGCTGCCTAAAAAAATAATAACAGGAGAATTTTAAAAAGACAAGAAACCCACAAGAAAATAACATCCAGTACTATATTTGTATAGATACATGTATGCTAGAGCAGGCAGCATTTGAAAAATGAAAAAGGACCTGAAATATGAGGCTGACCCAGAAGTATAAATTATATTTTCAAAATATAAACCATATTTAGTTTCAACCCAAGTTTTGATTCTATATCTTTGATGAATTTTAGCCTAGAGCAAATGTAGCCTGGGCAAATGTTACCGGCGAAATTGTTGGGTCAATTATATCACTTATAGCAACATCTACAGGATAGTTCAGTCTAATATTACCTCTTGGTGATCTCATGGCTTGCATAAGATTTGCCTGACATATAAAGAACTGATGTTGAATTTCCATTACCAGTACTGAAGGTATATTTGATAAGTGAATTAGGAGTATTTCCAAGAATTGTCAAGAATTTTATAAAACTTAGATAACGTTCATGGTCAATAATATATATCATCTTTTATATTTTATAGCATATTGCAGGCATTTCTTTTTTTTCAATGATTCCCCAGGAATGTTTTAAACTACACCTATTTGATGAACCGATATTAGAGGACATTATGTTTCCATTTCTGAAAACTAAATGTATGGGTATATAGGAAGCTAGAACATACATTCTTACTGAAAGATATTTCTTAATTCTTATACAATATTCCGAAAGATGTAAAACTTGTCATGATAGATATCATTTTTGCTAGACTAGAGATTGACTTCACATTCTACAAATCAATGGAATCTTTTTTTCATAATATCTTGTAATATCTTTCATATTTTATCTTGGCAAATGGTGAGAGTTGCCTTCAATTTGTACCTGAACAACTGCATTGCCATGATTTGAAAATATTTTAGCAGAAGAAAAAATTCCTATAGAGTAATCTAGCCATTTTAAACAATAGGTTCATTTCATTGTTCTTGGAATCTTCACAATTTAATTACTTATGAAGTCTTTACATGTACGATATGAAATGTCCATCTGTTATTAATTAATTTCTTGCTGATCCAGGGACTGATAGTGTCCAAATCTATTGTGTAATTGGATTAATAGCAGGATGTATGCAAGCTGTGGAGTGCTAATATTAGAATTGATATTGGCAAGAATAGGGCGTTTATTTGGCTCTGTAACTGGAGAATGCTTATAGATTTTTAATTTGGCACAGGTATGAAAAAATGGAAAATCAACAAATTTGACTAATTATAGAGAAAAATACTTTGGATAGCTCGAGAAGAGACTTTACAGCCTTTATATACATCAAGATATACCTCAATATACCTTTGCCCAGGTGTTTTTTTTCTTCATTCAAGATCTATTCTGTTTTCCAGTTTTTCAGACTTTATTGAAATTCTGGCACAAGAGAACAGATATATATGAAGGTATTTAAAGATTATTCAAAGGATGGGCTATCAAGGTTTCTTTCGGTGATAAATGTGACATTCAATATAGCATACTTTCAAAATTGATTTCAATGTGAGACACTTTTTCTTTCTTTCTGTAAGCACAATAATATGAGATTAAAAAAATAAGTGCAATGTAGCATTTATACATAATGATGAAGAAAGAAAGTGTAATACAAAATACTGAATATTTTTTATGAAGTATTAGGTTAACTCATTTCATCTGTTCAGAGTAAGGAGCAAACACATTTTTAAAAAAGTACCGGTAAACACCCTTCTGGCTCCCAAAGGACAATATTGAAAATAAGCTAAAATCTTTCATTATAAAATATTATGAATAAGTGAGAGTGTTTGTTTTTGATGAAATAACTTTAGGGTTTCAACTTTCATGTAGAAGCGGTCATGAATGTGGGAATGTTGAATGTTCTTCTTCAAATTAGATGCTTCCATGTTGGCACATGATGAGTGACCTCACCCAGATCCATGTTCACGCATTCTTGATTTAATTTCCCTTTTTGAAAGGGTGAACTGTCTGTTGGGAGCTACGAAGGGTGTTAACGCTTACATTTTAGCATAGATGACATGACCTCTTAACTCTCAACGGTGTTACTGTAGAACGTATTCTAATGTTAAGGTCATTGTCCTCTTGTCCTCTGGTGCTGTCCCAGGCAGGGGCTGGTGGCTATGCATATATACATTGTATGTGATCATGAGATCTTGCTCTGACCTCTTCATGACGAAGTCCAGTCCATATGTACTGCTTGATGTTGTCATACCAAGTGATTTGTTGTCTCTTCATGTTTGACTCTATCAGTAATATCTTCTGTAGTCCTCTTTTTATCAAATGTCCAGCATATACTAGCTTCCTTTTCCACCACGCAAGGTGCTCAAGATGCTCCAATATTACCCTGGCTCTGCAAGGCTACTGATTTTGGTGCTCACAGCATTCAAGGATTTCCTTCTTACCGATACCCATTTAACACCGGTAAATTTAGATTAATGTCTTGCCAAAGGATACTAGTGCCGCGGCGGGACTCGAACCGCGGACCCTGTGATCCACAGTCTTGACGACGTATCCACTAGACAACGACACCTCTACAGAGATCCACCATGGGATGTTTATGTAGGATTTTTGAGTAGTGGAACCAATGATTGGACATAGGTTGTATCAATGGAATTACCAAGACCAATGATGTAGGATATTTTAACCAAAATGCTTACAATAAGAAATTTTTGAAGACAAAGCTCATGGCCAGAGGTTAGTTAATTAGTTTAATGCAAACACGATTGGGTAGATATCACATCTAAGCAAATCAAAATTTAATATTGTATAGAAACACCAGATGATTAATGCATGAATAGCAAAGTTAAGGAATTTTTAGTATTCATGTACATTTGGACATTTGGGACCTCTCCGAAGCTTAGCTGTAAAAAACTGTAGTTTACACTAATGTCGCATCCAATGATTTAGAAAATCCCTCTGAAATCCCCTCCCTCTCATTTTCAATTGAATACATTAGCTGTGGGTTGACATAGCCTCAAATCTCTGATACAAATCAAGATTTAATGAATTTGCACTTCATTCTTTAGCATTATCTCTGTAGTTTAGTTTGTGGCAACAAAATATGACATCAGACAATTAAGTTCTTGGCCTATGCAACACTTCATGATCACTTCGTGAGCATGACACGATTTAGTGTTGAATTTAGTCATCACAGCACCTAATTCCCCTTGCCAGATCTACCCCCAAAGAAGCTATTTTTGTTGCCCTCCAAATTGTCTTTTTTGATAATCTTTGTATCACAGTAGGGAATGTGTTTAATGCTGTTGACAGACTAGATGTTGCTTATAAGACAGGGAGGTAGATGTGGATTAGTTGTTTATGCTGTAACCATACCTTCTGGTTTTGGGGGAGGATTTAGGGTTGAACTGAAACTCAATTTCAGCTGTGAAGATATATTAATCATGCAAAGTAAAACAAAACTCAGAATGCAAATGTTTTGAATCAGATGAAGAAGTGAAATGTTGTTCCATTCTATTTCAATCGGTGTACATGCAGACCTTCTATACCTTGTTACCTATTAAAGTATTTCATATTAAGTAATAACTGGCTGAAATATAAGGGTGCTGTAAAACCTTGAGAGTTATATTCCCATGGCAAAATCTTACGCTAATTAGCAACAAAATAAATAATAACACTGATCATTGTTGGAATACTTGTATAGCACCTTTTCCACTGGAAATATAGTGCTTCGAAATGTGGTCGTTATGTCAGTGTTAGAGTTACAATATATATAAGTTTCCAAGCAGTAACAATGTGAGATCAATGAATGCACAAATAAAGAAAGAGTTTTTTTTTTAATTGACCATCAAAAGTTCAATGTGATAGTTTTGTAATAAATTTAGTGGCACAGAAGGGTTGAATTATGATATCAGTCAGTCAGACAGAACAGATGTATCTAATTTACCAACTACAGACAAATTATGATTCAGCATCGGGGGTTTACGAACAGGATCATCTTTTTAGTTGTGATGAGCACCATAATCCTGTGTTATTGCATATATCTGCATCTGGTTACTTTTTAAAGGCAGGGTTAGCCTTTTAAAATTTGAAATCACTTCTAACCTGTTGACTACTTGATTCCCTCAATGCCACAGAATTAATACAGGAACTACCTGGTTCCATTTAGGCAATGGGTTAAAATGAACTCTGTAAATGGGTATGATAAACACTCTTATTAAAGAAAAGGTTTTAAAAAAACATGATCACGAAAACTTTTCAAAGAATCAACATAAGGCATTTGCAAAAGCATTGAGCATTTCCTTTTACAATTACAGAAAATGACATTGACATGTAACATTATCTGAAGATGATTTTAGAGGCAATGCAACCAATATTGAAATGGCCCTTGAGTTGATACTTTAGAAGTCTGTCTCATTCTGTTATAAACAGATAATGGATTCCCTCTACAAAAGATCCTTTGCACCTGGGGAGTGTTTCATAAAGCTGTTCGTAAAGTTACGCATGACTTTACAAACGACTTGTATATGAAGTGCCAGATAGTATGCCCAAAATCTTTTCTGATATTTCCAATTACCTCAATTAAATTATGGCAAAAAATATACTTTGCTTTAAAAATGTTTGTTATGATAAGAATGTTAATC